TTTTTTTTTTTTTTTTTTTTTAAAAAAAAAAAAAATCCCCTCAGATTCTATTCTATTTTTTATATCACACTTATGAGTTTGCACCTCATATATTATTTTTTTTTAATTATCTTATATAAAATCTGTATGCTCTTGCCAAAAATTGATTGTTAGATCATGCTCAAATCGATTGTTAGATCGTGCTCAACTGCTTCACATATACTTTTAACAATTTGGTATCTCCTTTGCTCTTGCTTGAAAATATATTGAAATAACATGAATTCTTCATAATGGATAAGCTCATTGATTCATTGTTGCCATATTATCTTGCTACATGACGAATAACAGGTTAAAATAAAATTCTAAAGCAAAAACATTAATAAACTTTGCTTGGAGAGAGAGAGAGAGAGAGAGAGAGAGAGAGAGAGCAGACCTCAGAAGACCCAGAAGGCTTGTGGGAATTGGGTTTCCAGAAACCGATTCCACCGAATTGACTCGCTGCCTCCTTCACAGACTCGAAAGGCGCTGACGTGTCGATTTCAGCCCTCATCTTCATCTTCTTCCCCGAACCCAGTTCAGCTTCGCTTTGTCTGAGTCCAATTTCGACACTTTCTGCTTCACCCTCAAGTGAATCTGTCTCTAGTGTTTCCGAAACAAATTGGGTAAAGCAATCTGAGTCTTTAGCAGCCATTGAAACCTCAATCCAAAACCTAAAACTTGTGGATAATGAACAATGATTATCCCAAACAGAGAGCGATGTATTAAAGAACAGAGAGGGAGAGAGAGAGAGAGATAGAAAGGGAAGGTGGGGAGGCAGACGTGGGTAGGTGGGAAAGACAATAATGCTTAGGGAGAGAGAAGTCTTGGGCGGGGAGATGTATTGATCTCAACCGTTAATATATTCTTAGAATTGATTTCAGCCATTAGATCAAAATGTATCTCACATACATTTTGATACATTTTTCAAAAACCTTTGTGCCTTATTATATAGATTATACACATAATATAATATTTCTTTTCTATTTCTTTTAGATATTGTAACATGTTTAATGAGTTATAAGTAGAAATTCTATCAAACATCATGACACATATTATCAAACTAATATATATATTCTATTATATAAAGGGATGGTCTGCGGTGATGTTGATACTTTTGGGTCACATATTTTGGGCTTTTTCAAAATACCATGTTTAAGTAAAGGGAAATGTTTGGGATCCCCCTTTGGGGATGTCCCCCACATCCCCAAAGAAATCATAGTCCTCCATGTATGTGTGGGGTCCATATCATGAGTGGTCTATATTTGTGAGGGTCTTGTTGGGTGGGAGTCTCAATTATCACTCTTAAGTAAAAAAGAAAGACAAGACTTGAAACCACGACTATGAGTTTGGTAAAACAAGCCCTTATCACTTGAGCAGCAAATACTATGTGTATTTTTCCTTATCATTATTTTTATACTATTATATTTTTTTTAATTATATATGTATTGCGTGTTTGGGTTGCTAGTATATATATATATAGTTTCAATAAGTTACACCGACCAAGATATGCATAAACAATGAATGAAATAAAATAATAACATATGGCATTCCCCTTGAGAAAAAAAAAAATGTTCAATTAATAAATCACTGTATATATGTGAGATATGAAATTCGAGAAGTGTTAGAGATCCACGATTTAGACTTTTAAATTTATCTATAATTTTTTTTTATTAGAAATATAAAAGCTTTATTAATGAAATCAACTTACTGTGAATCAAATTATAAGAAATTTTTTTTGAGATGAATTAAATGTGATAAAAAATTGATTGGGGTAGCTATGGCTAGGGCTGAGTAAGGAATCTGTAAAATCTGTAATCCGATCCAGTCCAATCCAATCCAATAGGTTTAGATTGATTTTTTGAATCCGTGGTTCGGTTCCGGATTGAAGAATTAAAAATCCGTAGTTCACGGATTGGTTTCGGATTGAACCCCATGGTTCTGGATTGGAACAGATCCGGACCGCATACAAATAGTCTATATTTTTATTATACATCCTCCCCCATAGTATATTCTCTTATTTTATATAAAACCTAAACTCAAACCTAAACCTCGTATAATATCTTCTTTTATTACTTTTGTTTGTTAGTTTTTAGTTTTAATTTGTAATGGTCTAAATACTTATGGTGAAACCAGTTTTCTTATGATTGTTTAAATTCTACAATATTATGTCACTATTATAGAAAAACATGTTGTTATTATGGAATGAATATAGCGCTATGTTTATATTTTTATGAAATTAAAGTGTTATATATATATATATTTTTTGTTATTTAATTATGTGAATCCGTAGTCCTAAATCGATCCAATCCGTGTTTAAACGGATTGGTTCGGATTAGTTCCATGATTTAAACGGATTGGATTGGTTCTGATTGTTCAGGAACCGTAGATAATGGATTGGTCCTGATTTTATTCAAATCCGATCCAATCCGGACCATTCTCTCCCCTAACTATGGCGAGAATGTTACAATCCAAGTTCATATTTCCAGAACACGGGGGTTTGCATGTTTCGATCTGTAAAACAAGAGGATCTTAATCAACATGTAAAAATTAATTTTTTTTAAAAAAAGTACTCATTAGTACACAATCCCAATCAAACAAAAGTAAAAAGGAATTAGCTTGGATTTGAAAAATTAACGCAGGTTTGAACTAACACTTTACCACTCTTGCAACGTTATAATTACTACATACTATATTGATTACATATTATTCAAAAAACAAAAAGTAAAATCTGGACAGTTTTGATCCCCGACAATTGTTAATTACCGTTAATATGACATAACCTCGGTGAATGATGATATCCATCTCAATCAATATCAAAATCAAGCTACAATTACAATTGCTGCAACACACACCACCCCACCACCTAAACTTCAAAATTTATAGTTTGTTTTGTGTGCGCCACATCAACTACATCCGCATCAACTTATATATATATATATATATATATATTTGTGTGTGTTCATTATTACTTAATTAATGAGATAGATAATCATAGCATATTGATATAGACACTATGTCCCAATTTTTAAATATCCCTCTTGATTGAGATACACTTATTTGACCATATAATTTGTTTAAAATATTTTAAACCGGTTCGTCAAACATAAATTATTTTTATTTTTATTTTTTATACATTTTGCGAATCATGTCACAAGCAATATATAAGTTGATGTTAATGGAGAGTGTTTTATAACTCTCATGGCCATGACTCTTATATGGAAAGATGTAAACTATTAGATAAGGGCTTTGATTGAACATTATTAAGTATTGTAGATTTTTGTGTAAAATTTTTTTAGTTGTATTTATTTTTTACATTAATATTTAAATTCTATATCCATCCCTTATTTTAAGAGATAGAACATTGAGTCCATATATTAAAAATGATAATCATGCCTCAATGAGTGGTGATTAATGTTGAAATATTTGTAAAAATTATTTTGAAATCTGTACAAAATATATAAAAATATGTGAAATATGTATTAAAAGTGTAACGTTTTTGACATTATTTAATTCTTTGGAATGTCTACTAAACTAGCCTTTTAAAAAATATAAATAAATAAGAATGAGAGAGAAATTGAGAGATTGGCCCTCAACTCTTTGCTATTGCTAGTGTAGGGACACAAATCGAATATATATATATATATTGCAATGGGAAAACATGCATGCAAGTTTATTAAAATCTCATTTGTTTTGACAAAAAATATTTTGTATTTTTTTAAAAAAAATAATTTGTTTATGTTCAATTACATCATTAGAACCGATATATTGATGATTATATTAATAGTAATGCTGATGATAACGATGATAAATTAGAGGTGGTGGAGTGATGTGGTGATAAGATGGCGGTGATGACATTGGTGGTGGTAAGACGGTGGTGCTAGTAGCGTGGTGAAAATAATTCCAAACCAATCAACTGAGACGTTAATTATGTGCACCGTCCCCACCCATTCTTGCCTTAACATTCATTCCATTCACTATTCCTTTGCTTGTTTTTCCACTCGATTAAAGTTCTTCCATCATCACCCACTAGGAAAATTTTGACAAATCAATCATAAACATAATAAATCAACTCCACCGAAAGTTGTGGATTTGCAAGTTTTGCACTTCTCTCCTAATCTTTTATATTTTTGTATTTTCTTTTTGTTTATGAAATGTAGTTGTTATTGGTATAAGACTCATGACGCAAAATATTTTTTACACGCGATATTTATAATTTTAGTAGATCCCATATATCACATTGTGTGGAGCGAAGCCGTCTAAAATAGTATAAAAATAAATAATTTATCCATATTAATCTTAAAAAAATTATGTGTAAATCTTAATAGGCAGATTTATTGTCAAATAGATCCTATAATAATTAATGATATTTTTTTTATCAAACACTACTTAAAAAGTCACTAATTGTTAATTTTCAGCGACAGCTTAAAAATTATCACAAAAATGTCACTAATTATAAATTTTAACAATAGTTTAAAAAAATTGTCATGAAAAACGTTACTAATTTTTAACTTTCAGCGACAGCGACAGGGACAGCATGAAAAATTTGTCATGAAACAAGTTACTAATTATAAATTTTAACGACAATTTATAAAAATAATGACAAAAAAATTTACTAATTGTCAATTTGTAACAACATACGTAAAAAATCGTTATACAAATTATTTTTACCAATAATTTTATTAAAATTTATTATAAAAAAATTTTAAAATTAAAACCAATTATTACGATATATAATAATTTGACCATAATACCATTACTGTTGTGAAACAAATCTAGCAAATGAATCCAAGATCTGTCCCATCACCGCTTTGTTTTTACCTAAAAAGTAATGCCCCCATTGCCGACAAGTAACACCACAATCGTAAAACGGGACACGAAAAAAAGCAACAAATCATATCACATAGTAAAGGATGGGAGTCACGATATGACCATCATCCATATGTTCATCCTCTTTCTAACCATCATGGTCATTTTGTAGCCAGTAATTACTAAATTAATTATGTGAACTTATCATTATTTTAAATTAAAATAATTATTATAATTATTAATGATTTTTCAACTCTTAAATAATGTAATAGAGATATCTCTTTACAATTTAAAAAAAAAAAAAAAAAAACTATATAAAGGATCTCAATTCATGAATAAATGTTAGACATAGCAAAAATAGCATAAAATATTCTACCTTTTGTCAATGGGTATTACATGCTTAGATTACCTTATTGTGTTTATAAAATTTTTTTATTAATTGATGATAGGAAAATGCATAAGATTTTAAAATATCATTTTAAAAATTTATTTCTTTTTTTTAGATGGTGGACTGCAGTAACCAAAGAAAACAAAAGCAATAGTTCTAGCACTAGCAGTAGCAGCCAAACAAGACAAAGCAAAAGAAGAAAACTACTAGCAGCTAGCAGCCTCCGAGCAGCCAACCGATCAACCGACGGGGGCAGCTCCTCCAGGCTCCATCCAAACCTGCCTCTCCTGAAGCGAACGAGACAATCTAACAAGGGAGTGAACCACAGAGTTTCCTTGCCTAGGCACATGCATGATCAAAACTCGACGAAACTCCATCAATCGGCCGCGAGCCCCCTCCACAATATGACCATAGGATGATAATAATTTATCTGGTGAGAGAGTCACCTTCAATGTACACATCACGAAGACCCACATCCAAGGCAAAATTAATCGCTCTATCAGTCGCAAAATTGTTGTTTTTGTGGTCTTAAATCTGTTTCTAATGACATAAATTGTTCTCTATTGTGAAATAACTATTAATGCTGTAAGAATCAATTAAGACACAATTTCCTACCATATAAATATAAATACAAATAAATTTGAAATAATATTTTAAAACTTTATAACATGACTCATCATATCATACTCAATGCATGTCCTCAACCACTCACCTAAAATTTAAGTCAAAGCAAGCAAAGGAGGGCCAACCCGTCGTATAGAAAGAGGAAGGCGAGTGGGCACACATCTAGAATTTTGTGCTGCAAAGCAAAGATGGATACTTGTGTCGGCTTGAATATATATGAGTAGTGTTATATCAACGGGTATATACATATAAAATGATGGGATAAGTTTTAATTTTATTATTTTAAAATAAAAGATTTATTAATAAAAAAAGTTTAATTAAAAATTCTAAAAAACCCTCCCCGAGGCAGTGCCAATAAAATATCTATTATTGTTTGGCCAAAAAAAATATAATTAATTAAAAAAATTTAACTTAATGTGTATGACAGGATTTGCTAGACCCTAGCTTGATTACTAAATAAATTTGTAAATTAAAAAAAAAATTGCATTTAAGTGGGAATAACTCAAACTTATTTTTATGGAAATACAAGCCAAAGCAAGTTAAAGATTTGTCTCATGTCACAATTTTCACTTGCACTGAATTCATTGTACATCTATAAAAATATAATTATTTTGAATTATTCACATTTAATTATAGTGGTTCTTTTATAAATTTAACTCCAACCTCATTTCTTTTTTTCTTTTTGTGTGTAGACATGCAGTGGAAATAGAGATGCTAGAAGATAATCATTAAGACAATAATAAACAATTATTTATAAACTATAAGAAAGGAATATAATTGTAACAAAAACTTATCCATAGAATCGTGTAAATCACCATCGTTTAAGATTAGACTTTTACTTATCTGAATATAATATAATAGATAATGACATCATACTCTTCAAGATTTAATTGCCCTTTTTTTTTAATTACAAATATTCATTTGTAAATGTGGAGGTATATCAATTTCAACTCATTTGATGGTCCCAAATACCAAATAAAAACATCAACATTTTGATTTTAGGACACATCCTATATCAGAAGAGTAATACAGTCACCATACATATCCATAACAACAACTACACAATGACAGGAATGAAAATAACTTTACTCGTTGCACAAGATTTCTTCATCAATTGATAAAACTATAAAGAGCATTGCTATTGAACTTCAAAAATTAGATTCAAATCTAATGATATGATAATCAATTAGAATATTAAATGTAACACTCTCTCTTATATCTTCTCCAATCATTAACCAATCATATTTAGGGGTGAACATAGTCCGGATTGGTTCGGTTTGGAACAAAATTAGGATCAATCCGTTATTTGCAATTTCATAAAAATTGAAGTGAATCCATGAATCAATCCGAACTAAACCATTTAAACACAATTCGGCTTGATTTGAAACCACGGATTCATATATAATCTATTGACAAATCATTTCAACATTAATCTACTCATAATTTTTCAAAACATAAACATGCATATTATTCTGCCATTAATTTAAACAAACATAATATCCAGTTCCACAACAACAATAGCAACAACTATTACCAAATTCCAAAAAAAAAACTAAAACTGATTCCAATATTACACCATTACAAAACTAAAACTAAAACTAAAAAATAACACAACAAATAACAACAAAGCGGTTGCTGCATGCACAGAGAAATGAAGAAAATGAAATGTTATGAATTAGAATTTTGGTTTTGTATATAAGTAGGATCATATGTTAATTTTTTTAATAAATTTTATATAATTTCTATTTCTACATATTTTTATTTTCCAAATGAATATAAAAGAAAATTAAATAGTTAGAATTACTTTTAATTTTATGTTACTAATTCTTCTTCTAATTTAATTATTTTTTAATATCAAAATGAGTATTTATTTTACTATTTTATAATTTAATATATATCATACAAAATTATTATATGATAATTGCATTTTTATAATACTATAAAACTAAAATTATCAAAATATACAAATAATTTAATTAAAAGTGATATATATATATATAAATATCAAGTAATAATTTTATAGAACGATAGTGTTAATATTATTAAAATAAATAATTAAAATTTAATTTTAATTTTAATTTTAATTTTAAATTTAAATTATTTTTTTATAACACATTGTACTATCAAATATTTTTTTAAAAAAAAATAACATTTACATTGTATGAGTCAACCGCTAATATATATATATAACATTATATTAATTTACTTACGGGATTGATCGAGTAAGGGATGCAGAAGTTGACAAGAAACCTCCCATCTAGTAATCCCATAAATTTTCGTCGTCGTCCTTAAAACAAGTCGATGTTGGTAGTGGGCGGCGGCTAAAGGCGGGGATTGTGTATGATAATTGAATTTGAGAAAGCAAAGAGGGATGGGGAATTGCGTGTTTAGAGGGTTCGGAGGAGGGTTTGAAGAAATGAACATCAAAGTGGTGACATCCAACGGTGGTATCATGGAGCTCTACTCCCCCATCACCGCCGAGTGCATCACCAACGAATTCCCAGGCCACCGCATCTTCCGTACCCGCAACAACAACCTCTTCTCCCAACCCCAACCCCAACCCCTCCTCCACAACGAACATCTTCACCCCGGCCAATTCTACTATCTTCTCCCTCTCACCAACACCAACTCCACCACCACCTTTACTACTACTACTACTACTACTACTACTACTACTACTCTCCCACAACAAGAACAAGCCGATACCTTCCACGTCAACAACAACATTAATGGTAACTATACTGCTACTTGTTCATCTATGGTTACTACGCCGTATCGGATGTCCTTTGACAACCAAGGGCAAGGGCAAGGGCAAGGGCAAGGCCAAGGGGGAAGAGGAAGAGGGAAGAGGTCGTCGGAGGCAGAGGTGCTTCCTAGGTACAACAGCACAGGGGTGTGGAAGGTGAAGCTGGTGATTAGCCCCGACCAGCTTTCTGAGATTTTGTCTCACGACTCTCGAACAGAGGCCTTGATTGAGAGCGTCAGGACTGTCGCCAAGTGCGCCAATGGGGTGCCGCACTCATCCTCATCCTCTTCCTCTTCCTCGGTGGCCAATTCAGATCACTGCAGCAGCCTTTCCGGTAACTATTCCCACTGGAACCACGCCTCACACAAACTCTGATCAATATATGTATATTGTTTTTTTTTTTGGCTAGTGGTACTCCAAAGAGGCACTATTATTAGCTTAAAAATGCTTGTTTCATACATGCTTATTGGATAGGACATGTTTTCCCCTTTCTTTTTTCTCTTTATATAAACTATGTGCAGTTGTGTATATTTATGTGTATGTATGTAGGGAACAAGAACAAAATAAAAGAAGAAAAGAACCAAAAAAAAAAAAAAAAAATTTAAAAAAAAAATGGAAAGGAAATGAAAGAATATTTGTAAATATATATATATATATATATATATAAATTGAATATTTGTTAGTTTTTTTCCCTACTTTTAAAAAAAAAAAAATGCATGTAAATAATCTGTATTTTTTTTTATTAGATTGAAAAAGTGAGAATATTAAAGAATTAAAAAAATGGCAAAATAATTTCAAATTTATTAAAGTACAAATGGCTCGAACATAAGCACAACGTAACATAGGCCTGTTTGGAAGTGACTTTTTCGAGCATAAGCACAACGTAACATAGGCCTGTTTGGAAGTGACTATTTCATTTTTTTTTTTGGGTTAAAATTCACAAAAATATAAAATAGACTAAAATAATTAATAAGACAAAATATTACATCAAACTCATAATCATTTTATTTTTTTTCTTACAAATATCACATCTAATTATAAAAAAATCTAATCATCTTTTTAAATATAAAAATTTTAACTAAAAAATAAAATAACTTATTAAAATAGTCAACTTTTTAGATAGGGCAATAATAATAAAGAAAAATAGAGAGAAATACTTCAAAATGTTTTATTTAAAACTGAACCACATTCTAACTCAACTAGTCTATTTCTCTGTTTATATACATACACGTATTGTACTAACTAATCACCTAACTCACTCAGTTCGTTACAGTGTTTGTTACAGGAGAATCATCTCATACAACTAAACTATACAACAATGCTAGATGGCCATAATTTTTGTGATCACAATGTCTCAAAACTATCAAAACGACGTCGTTTTGACATGTTTTGCACTCAAAACGACGTCGTTTTGGCATGTTTTGCACCCAAAACGACGTCGTTTTAACAGTTTTAAGCTATTGTGACCACAAAATTGTGACACTCAAACATTCTAAACTATATGTTGGTGATGTACTACCAGCATCAATACCAATATCTGTCCTACAACTGCAATACATAGCAGCCTTAGCAACTCTTATTGCACTTGCAGTTGGCCTAGTTATCTCATAGCATCCGCATCAGCCTTTTTATAATGGTTTTGAAACTATTCTAAAGAATAAAAGCTGTGAATATTAGCCCCATCAGACTTTCAACTTTCTTCATTCATTTTGACTTTGCTACAGTGCCTCAATTGATTTGTTGAGGCACTGTTTATACGGTAATCTATTTTTTATTATATTTTCTAGAGAAAAGTTAGGCTAAAAAGTTATGGCCGGTCGTCCACCCGGATGTCCTCCCGAATGTCCCATGAGTGCCCTGTAACAAAGAAAGAAAATGCACAAAATTGGCATGACCGGTCGTCCGGCCAGTTGACCTCCCTGTGTGATTGTATTATTGTTGTTTGCTTGTTATTTGTTGCTCTTTTAAGACTAATCTATTATATATTTAAATTAAAAAAGATAAAAGAATAAAAAATAATATTTTAATGAAATAGAATTTTAAAATAGAGAGTTTGATGGAGTGTATACATAAAAAAGAGACTAGCTAAAATACAAAAGTAGATTTTGGATTATAATTTGACTCAAAATTTGCTGAGACTGATGTGAATGTTCTCAGCCTTGCTAGCACACCATCTCCAACTCAACACCAAATGTTTTATTAAATTTAAATTTGAAAAAAAAAAAAACTCGCTTTTTATTGTTCTAACTCAACACCAAATGTTTAATCAAATTCAAAATTTCTCAAATCTTTTATCAAATTGAGGATGGATGTGCCTTTCATCAAATCACTATTCATAGGCATTGGATTTTCACTACTGAATGTCTCCCGGATGACTGCCTCTTTGCAAAAATTTGTAAAAAAATTATACTGGCTAGTTGACCGGCCAGACATCCACCCTGTCAACCAATATTTTGATAAAAGTTCAAAATCCTCCGTTGAAATACTTGATATCAAATGAAATTTTTACTTAAATTTTTATTAAAATTTAATGAAAAAGAGATACAACGTTGAAGATGTCCTTAGCAGTAGTAATTGTAGAATGAGTAGCTTTAGATTCATTACACTTATCAAATAGTTGCCTAAAATATTACACAACCCAACCCAAGTACAACATAACATAGAACATAAACTACAGGTGGAACATGCATAGCCAGAGGAAAGGCTCCTAATTTAAATCTAAATTGTCGGTTGTGATGTCAGAATTTTAATGTAAAGTGAGATCTGAATCTAAATAGTAAGACATATTGGTAATCTATAATAGCTTTCATATATAACCAAAGTGGGAAACTATTTTTATTTTTGGCCATCCTCTTATGCATTGTCTATCTTTTAGTTGAGAGAAAGACACATCTACGTTGTATCAATCTCTAACTTATGCATAATAAGTGCATGATTGCTAGGGTTCTACCTCTCGATCTTCATTAAACATGCTTTCGATATTAGACTACACATTAATTTCATTTTCGAACGTGGGCCATTTATCTTGCATCAACACTGAAATAGTTTGTTTGGTTATAGGGAAAATGCATCCCTTGCCATGTTACTTTGTCCTTGTGCCATTTGGGCATATAGAAATTCCTATTTTCAAGTTGGAATCCAACTTCTTGTCATCCCTCTCCCTCAACTTCTCCATTGGTAAAAACTCTTCTATTATTATTCTTCTCAACATTTTCGCTACAGTTTGGACATTACATTTGTATTGGAATTGGAATTTTATGGTGAAAGGGAAATACCATTGGGCTACTTGTTTATGTAATTGGAAAAAATCTGACATAATTGATCTGTTCACATGTCTTCCTCAATACTACATTGGCTTGTTATGTCAATATTCAACGCTTGACAAACGTCGATAGAACTGTATAAAATTTGATGAATTGTTCTTATTAGATAGTGATGGGTCATATCCGCAGAAGATTGTTTATCATGATTTGCCTTGTAGTGAGTTGAAGGCTGCAATAAATAGTATTTGATATGCAACTCTCAGAGAAATAATTCTTAATTCTGTGAGATAACACATCAATATACCTTTACGCAACAAGCCAAATGAAATCATACGATATGCCATTGCTACGAGACTTGATACAGCAAGCTAATTTCTTATATTTGCATAACTTACAATAATATACGATTTGCCAATGCTAAAACTTCATGAAGAAATAAAATCCCTTTGCCATAAAGTTGACAAGTCATTGTCCTCAGAACACCCCCAAAAGTCCAATTCTTCTCTTGGTTGGTTTGGAAAGGTAGAATCAAAACTTCTATTTTCCTTCAACATATTGGTCTCCTTAGAGGAGAGGATGTCACTCAATGTATCTTTTGCAAAGCATAGCCAGAGTCCATTAATCATGTTTTGCTTCTTCGCCCTTTTATCTGGAAAATTTGGTCTAATATCATTGATTGGTGGGATCAAATTTGGGTTTGCCCAGGCTCTGTTATGGATTTTTTTAATTGGTGGCTTGGCACTAAAATCAGGAAGAAGGAACTACAAATCTGGAATGCTATACCACTTGCTGTTGTGTGGTCAATTAGAAAGCTTAGAAATAATTGTGTGTTCAATAGTTCCCAACCCAACTTCATGGAGCTCAGTGAGCTTATCAAAGTTAGAATTGTTGTTTGTTTGAAGAGCCACTCTGTTGGCAATCTATATTCCATCCATGATTCTGTTTCCTACTTGAATCAAGTCAGGAGGTGTATTTGATGGCTAGCTGTGGGTTTCTACTGCCATTCTTGCTGTTTGGCTGTTGTGGTGTCTTGGTGTCTTGCTGTCATATCAGTTCATGTTGGTGGTCTGTTTTCTTGTTTGCTCTTTTTTGTCTTGTTGGTCTCTCACCAACTTTCGCTTAAGCTAGCATATGATAGGATGTCTTTCTTAATGCCAACCTAGTTGAGATTAGGAGGGTTCGCTTTGATGTTTTTTTCTCTTGCCTTGTCTTTATTGATATAAATCGATATATTTTGTATGCTGTTTTCATTAATAAAGCTTTCTTTTATTGATAAAAAAAGAAAAAAGAAAAAAAAAAGAGTCATTGTCATCCGAAGAAGAATAAAAAAAAATAAAAAATAGTACCGAGATATGTCATGATATGACAATTACTATGACGATGTGATTCATTAGTGTCATTGAAACTAAAAAATAATTTACTTATGCATTATTAATTATTTATGTGCTAGGTTGTGATATTAGCCATATTATTATTGAAATGTTAAAATTTTCTACCATGAGACCTTCAACTTAAGGATAAGTGAAAGAGTTTATTCAGTAAAAAATAGCTTTAATCACTAGCATAATGATCAGTCAGGCAATGGCAAAAGAGTTCAATTGACCATGATCTCCTAAATTTCCTTATGAAGTTATGGGTTTGAGTTGGGAAGGGTCCTAAAATAACGACTTGTGGTAAAAAAATGCAGTACACAACAATGAAAAGTGAGCAGACAACCTAATGAAATATGTAGCAAAAAACTTCACTTTGACATTTTCTCAAATACGTGATGTTCAGAATTTAAAATTGGGTTATTAAGCTGGACAGAAAGGGAACAACCTTATTATAATAGCTTTAACTATTAATTTTTTTTTCAAAATATACAGGCTTACTCCCTTTAGTTTGTTTAAACAATTTTAAGTGATCATCCATTCCATTTTAAAATAATTTAAGTGGTCATCCCTAACTCTGTCGAGGTTGTTAACAACTCCGTCAGTCCCAAGCCTAGGTTAAGAAGGAGGGTTGTGTGTTAGGTAGCCGATAGTCAACACGTAAAAAAGCCGCTCGGATCCCTTATGACAATAAATCCTACTTTGAAACGTTTAAATATAGGTCATTTCCCTCAAGTGACGCGTTGCACTTGCCTCCGGGTGTTTCGAAAAGTGAGCAAGGGGCACTGTATCGATACTTGGATGTGGTGAAAAATGCGCAAAGATTTTCGCGTTTTTCTGGACGAGCGCAGGTAAAGAAGCTAGTCCAAGACTATAGGTTTAGGGTAGCCGCTTG